CCTCTGTGGTTTGGGTTCCAGGGCAACTGGCCTGGTCCCTCCTGGCAGGCTCTTGGGTCTAGGGCCTGAAGTGTTTGTTCAGTGGAGAGATGGGTTCAGAGCAGGGATGTAACGACGATGGGAAAGGAATCACTCTAGTTTGGTGGGGCAGAGGGGGCAGTCTTTATCATGGCCACTCACAGCTTCTGCCATTGTCTTTCACCACTATCTCAGCGTCTCGGTCCCTCACGATGTCCCTCCAGTCAATTGTGTCCATGTGACAAAGTTTATCATTCTTCTCAATATAAACGCCCCCTGACAGAATCTCTGAGGTAAGGAAAAGAAGTGACAAAGTCAAGGGCTATGGCAGAACTCTACCTTCCCACCAATCCAAAAGACATCCGAGACTTGGCAGCATAGGAAACGGGGCAGACACATATGTCCAATTAAATTCCAGCTGCAGAGAAGGCTCGCCTTATAAGAGGAGTCAGGCCAAAAGAAACTCCTGCCTCTTCAGACACCTGTCCAGATCCGGTTTAGCCAGTGGGGGAAGGGAAAGGAAAAAAGGAGAACATCTCTGACTCAACACCCGCCCCCCCCCCAGCCCTACCTGTGTGTTTTCTAACTGACTGGGACAGGGAGAAGTAGCAGGTGGCCAGGTGGTATTTAACCCCTATGTGCCTCTGCCTCTGCCCTGTGGGAGTTTGGGAGGGAGAAAGGTAGGATTCCCAGGGAAGGAAGGACATCAAGGGACACTGTACTTTGAAGTTAGAGAAATGTGTAACAGATCAGCTCCAACTCTAGCCCCAATGGGACAGAGGACCCTCTCCCTGGAGCAGATACCCTCAGTTCCTCATCGGGGGCCCTCTACTGTTAAGGGAGTGGGCACCTTGGAAGGGGCACTTAGGGTGAACAGTCTTGGGTTATCATCAGGGAGGTGCCAGTCAATAGGGTGGCTGAGGGGCAAGGCCAGGAGTCATCAGGAACTGACCGGTGAGCTGAGTAAAGCGGAGCTGGCGCAGAGCGTGGCTGGAGTTGGTGTTATAGTTCAACATGACAAAGATGGCAAACTTCCCATCATAGACCTGTGTGCCCCGCACCACTCGGAGGTTGGGCAGTGGTAGTGTAGAAAATTCATTCATGGCCACGAGGATGTAGCCTGTCACTTCTCGGATCCACTGTGATAGAGCAGATTGTGTCAATGAGAGGCATGACAGGGCAAAAAGTCTCAGTCCCCTCTACCTCCTTCAGGCATTCTGGAATCCTTAACTCTTTCAAGTCTTTCTAATTCCTGTTTTGCAGTAGGAAGTAGACTGTGTCACACAAACCTGTCACTTCCAGCAGAGAAGATAGAAAGCAGAAATCATAAAGGCATTCTAGTTTCCTACTTTTTCTTCTCAAAGCTCCTCATGCCAGGAGGGTCCTGGCTTAGTTCCTTCCTCATCTCTCTAGGTGCCTCCCAGTCCTCAGGTGTGTCTTTGTATTAGTCCCTGCTTCCTTTGCACCATCACAGAACACACCTACCCCTGCCCCTGCCCCCCTATATATCCCTGGCTAAACAGCATAGGTCCCCGGTTCCACTCATTGTCTGCATAAACATAGGTTTGAATCTTAGGAGCTATTGAGTCCTAGGAATGCTGAACTCCAGCAGAGGGTAGCCCTGAGAAAGGGAAGGAGGCTTCTATGGGGAGAATAAAGAGCAACAGGTCAAGGAAGGAGACCGGCACTCAAACCTGCAGGAAGGAGAGGTCGGCATTGTGTCCTGTGAGCACAATCTCCAGGTTCCCCATCACCACCTCACACCTCTCGTAGAGCTTGTACAGAGTCTGGTATTGGTTCTCAGCATCGCCAGTCACACTCAGCCCATTCAAAGTCCCAGGACACACTGTTCAAAATGGAGGGAAGAGTGGCAGAGGGCTGGATGCAAGGTCTCAGCCCCATTTGCCATCCCCCAAGACCAGCCCCTTGGTTGCCCTCTTCCAGTAACATTCAACAGGATCAGAAGGCATTTGCTCCAACCCTACCCACCAGGGACAGATAGGCCCATAATGGCCTGAGAGCCTCCTCTCTTCTTAGAATCCCCTCACCATACCCTGAACGCGAAGGTGAAAGGGTTTCCTTTTTCTTCCAGGGACCCTCTGTGCCTCTTTCAGGTACTGCTTTGGGTACTAAGGGGTTAATCAAGGAAGATGGAAATTTTTTTTTCCCTCTCTAGAAAGGAGAAGTTAGGAAAGGACCACAACTTTGATTACCCTGTTCTCCCCCTCCAACCAGGGCACTGACTTCTTTACCCTCATCCTGCCTCTCTCACTAGGTCCTGGAATAAACATCTCTTTGGGGCTAGCACACAGCCCCTATTGTGTCTACTGAGGGTGGGATGGGGCAGAGGGTGGGGGCAGTGCCTGGGGCCACAGTCCAGCCCACAATGAGGCAATTCTATCCAGGAGGAGGGGGCTGCCCCACCCTGTCCCCAGACACCCTGTCCTTAGCAGCACCCCCCCTCCACCCTCAAGCCTTGGGCTCAGACTAAGTGACCTCACTAGAGGGGGGAGCTCTGGTGGTGGTTGGGGGTGTCAATGGGAGCTTTGTCTTTAAAGGTGGAAGATAAGGAGCTGGCTGCCTCCCCCCTTCCTAAACTCTGGGGCTTTCCTTCTCATTCCCTTCCCCTAGCCCAGGCACTCCAGCTCCCTCAGCATCACTTTCTAACCCCAGAGTATTTTTCAGCAAATACAGAGTAGCCTAGAAGGAAACAGTAGCACACTCCCCACTCTGAGCCTTCCATGTGATTTCATTGTTAGAAGAGATTCATTAAAAAGACTTCCAACATGGCAATCCTTACCCACACTAGGGGAGAGTCTAGACCAGAGGCACATGAGGCATGTCAAGTATTGGGAGTTCACTTTTCTTTATAAATGTGGAGGGCAATAGGCTGTGGGAAATCCTGAACCCCACCCCAGTCTCTCTCCTCTGGCTCAGTGACAGACTGTATGGGGGGAGGGGAACGTGGGGGGAAGTAGGGGGTAGATACCACCTTTTCCAACCACCCTTCCCTGAGGCAGGTCAGTGGGAGGCAGGAGTGGGAATGGAGGGAGGGAGATGATGAGGTCCCAACTCCTCCTACTAGATACACCCCTAGTCTGACCACTTGATCTTTGAGTGTTCCACTTCCCTATCACTCCCCATGAAGGGAAGGGGTTGGCTAGTTTCAGCAAAGAGGGGTAAATAGGTCAGGAGCTCCTAGGAACCTGGGAACTCCAGTGTCCTTGGGCTGAAATGAAAGAGACTAGGAAGGTTCATTATTTCTGGAACAGCCCCACCCAATCCCCCTCCTGGCAGGACATCCCCTTTTCCAACTTAAGGCGCCAATCCTTTTCCCCACATAAGGGAGGAGCTAAGATTTCTGCACAAGGAAGCGGGGTGTGTGTGTGAGTGCACGTACACATATATACAACATACACATGAACATGTACACATCTCCTTTGCTGGCCCAAAAATCTATATTGATCTGTCCTTGGGTCTCCTTACAGGAAGTAGTTCAGGTGGCCCATCCATCCCACCTGCCCATAAGTATTTGTGCAGACTTTGTGTCTGTGCTTGGAAGAATACAGTGTTGGAGGTCCCACTTCCCTGCCACCTTGAGGGTAAAGTCCATATTATACAGGCAGGGGGCAAAGGGCCTGGGTGGGGAAAGAAATAAGCACACCTCTGGGGAGGAACCAGTCAGTTTGGGGAGCAGGGTGGGGGAGGGGAATTATAAAAATCCCCGCTGTACCCAGGGAGCAGGGGCACAGGCAGGGGCAATGTCACAGGCCCTCCTTTGGTAGAGAGCACTGAGGCTGGGACAGAGCAAGAATCTCCAGCCCTCCTCAACCAGAGGCCTCCCCTCCAACATCCCCCACCCCCATCACAGCCGGGACAAAGGGGCTATAGAAGGACTGAGACAGGGCCGGATGCCCAGAGGCTGCAGGATCCAGATAAAGGGTAAAGAGACCCAACCATGCCTGCCTCCTGCCTCCTCCAGTGAGGGTGGCCAGAATCTGGGATTCCCAGGTTCCTGGTTGAAGATTCCAGGGGTCTGGATGGGACAGTTACACAGCCACTCCACTGGTCCCTCCCACTGCAGTCAGTCCCCAGACCACCCCCCTCCACCAGCTGGGAGTGTTCACATCTCCAAGATCTCAGGGTCTAAATTTAGGCCCAGCAACTGTGGGGGAAGCACAGGTGGTTTCTCCCACTCCTACCCTGGGGAAGGGGCCCTGGCTGTGCCAAACCCCAAACTGAGATCTGGGGGGATGGGAGGCGTTCAACAGGTCTTCAATTCCAGAAACACCAGCACCAGTCAGGTGTCCATAGTCCCAGAGACACCCCAAAGGAGTGGACACAGATAGCATGGGAGTGTGAGGAGGATTAGAGAAGACCAATCCAGGACTCTGTCTAGAGTCCTAGAGACAGTGTGAGACAATAAACAGAATAGGAGCAGTGGGTAGAAGCTGGGCCTAGAAGAACTTTTCAGGAAAGGGGGCTCAGAAGGTAGCCCAAGTGCCTTCTTAGCCCTCAGGTTGGGGAGAGAAAAGAAAAGGCTGTAAGTCCATGCCTTAATAGCTCCTGGCGCAGGGGCTTGTGTATAGTAGATGCTCAATAAATATTAGTTGAATTGACCTGGGTCTTGGCAAAGGGAGGTTGGTCAAGTTTGGGACAGACCAGCTCTATTATTTGGAGGGAAATCGGGCAGCCAACCTCTGCTGGGCCTCTCGCCCTGATGTCACCTGGACTTGGCCCTCTGGTTAATCTCAGCCCTCCCCAGGGCAGGCTCACTCACGGAAGAGGAGGTGCCACTCCTGTTTTTCCAACTGCAGAAAACAACAACCCCCTCCAACCCTTGCGTAGCCCCGCCCTGTCGGCAAAACAACCAAACTCGGGGTTGCAGAAATCAGGTGCCGGGTGGGGGTTAGGGGGCTGGCGAGCAAACAGAGGCCCTTCCGCAAAGATCCCCACCTCCAACCATCTCCTCCTGTTTACAGAACGAAGGTCCCCGCTTCGCTCCCTGCAGGGCCCCTCAGAAGTGTGAACTACTCGTTGCGGCATCAGCCTCATCAGGGGAGACCAATTAGAGGGTCGGCGACGCGCTGGGGAAGGGGGCGTCCAGAAATACCGTGTCTACCCGGACAACGCCAAGAACTCAGGCCCGACCACCCCGACCTCAGGTGGCCGCAGAGGACCCGGGGTCAACACCCCCACCCCCACACCGCCTGAGCCCCTGCCCCTGCCCCTGCCCCTGCCCTCAGGGACTGCGCGCACTCGTCGGGCTCCCAGGTTGCGAGCCCGCCGGTGCTCCAGAGCCGCTTACCTGCCTGCGAGTTGCCCACCTCGGAGCCCCGGGCCAGGCTGAGAAGTAAGCCCAGCACCTGCAGAGCCCCGTTCCCCCTCATGACTTCAGAGGTGGGTGAAGGGAGCCCAGCCGTGTCCGGCCCGGGGACCCCTGGACTAGGACATCGAAGCGAGAGCCACCTGAGCCGCCAGCGAATTGGTGGCGGCGGCGGCGCCGGAGGTTGCAAACTGCAACCGGAGCCGGAGCCGGAGTCCGGGGCGGGATGGCAGGGGAGGGGTGTAGGTCTGTGAGAGAAGGAGGGAGGGAACGCAGGGGGAAGGGGGTGAGTCACGGCCGCGCCCCCTCCCGCGGAGGCTGGAGTAGGGATTGCTGCAGCCTCGGACTGCCCGCCCCGAGCGCGCGCCACGCCCCACGGCCCCGCAACTTGGCCAAGCAGATCCAGGATGGGTCTTGCCCTAATTTTTCCTCAGGAGCTGCGCTAAAGGGACATCAAGATTCCAAAAGCGCCTAAATCCAGGGAAAGGTAATGAATGAGGGTGGGGAGGGCGCTCCAAAGCCCGGCCCCCTAGAAGTTGGCCTCGCCCATTAACCAAATCACTCAACTCCCCTAGCCGGTTGGTTCACTTGGGGGGATTTGCTCTCAGAATGTGAATATTTCTGTGTATTTTTGAGAGGGAGGGTGTTTTTTGCCTCATGTTCAGGCCACCTCAGTTTTCCCGGGACTTGAAACCTCATAACTCGTCCACCCTGCCCAGGAACCCGAGCCCCGGAGGCCGCGTGAAATTGCACTGTCTCCGGCCGCTTCCTCCTCCAGACCCGGCGCCGGCCCAGCCTCTCCGGGGGATTTGGATGGGGGGGTGGGGGTTGGTTTCCAGCCTGGGAACAGACCCCGGAGCCCGCCTTTCCACTTCTACCCCGGGAGGGGCTCCCGCACCTGTCGCCGTCCCCTCTGCTGCCCCCCACAGCCGCCTGGGAGAACAGCTGCCTTCCCTTCCACACTGGAGCCTGACCGCGCCGTCCAGGCGGCCGCAGTTCCCGCGGCTCTTCTGGGGGCCCAGATGGGCACACGGTCCCCACCACAGGCGCCCACACCGTCCTGGGTGCCAAGTCCAGGCTCGCGCTGGAGAGCAGGAGGAGGGGTGGGCAGGAAGGGGGACGCGAAGAGGACACTAGAGACGAATGGCACGGGCCCCGGAGACCTCCCGCACCAGCCCGGGCGATCCCAGCCAGAAGGTCGGGCGCTGCTAAAGCCCCGCTAGCCCCGGGACGGATCCGGCCAGCGCCCCCTGGTCCCCAACCTGTGGCAGTGAAGTCCCACTTGGCGTTAATTTCAAATCCTTAAAATTGGCATTCCAGATCTCGCCGGGAGAGCCTAATTATTTTCCCCAGAACTTCAAGCCTGAAGACTTAGAGAACAATTACGCCTTGAAAAAAAAAAAATTCGCTCCTAGCCAAGACAATTGGCTAAATTCTTTTAACCTGCTCTCTATTGACATGCAACCTAGAGGGCCCATTCTCTGCTTGATAATTCAGTTCCTGTTTCGCCCTCCTTGGGGAGGTTGAGTTGCCCAGACCACAGGCCCTAACAGTTATAATAGTGATAGCAACAGCAAAACGGCTAACATGTACAGGTACATCCATATACCATTTCGTTTTCAAAGCATTTCCTCAAATTTAATGTCTTAGAGAATGTGTCACTTAACATAAAAATTATGTGAGCTAGGCAACATCACTCTCCATTTTACAGAACTGGAAACCTGTGACTTCTCCAAGGTCATCCACCTGGTGACTGTAGTCCAGGTGATCAGGTGACCAGGAGGAGCACTCAGGTTTGATTTCTTATGTTTTACTGAGAGTGAAGCTTCATCTGCTCAGAATCAAATGCCCATCAGATAACACAGCTAAAACACTAAGGATCTCCACTCCTACCTACTCTCCCCCAGATTAAAGAGTCTTTCATTTTATTACGCCCCCATCTCAACCTACTGTTCAGGGCTTTGGTTTTTGAAGGAGAAAACGCTCCTTGGTTTCCTTGTTTATAAACAGTTGTATATACTTATAAGATTGTTGTTTAGGGGAATTCTCTGAACCATTATTTGTTAGAGTGCTGCCCCACTGTAAAGAAAAAAAAAGATTGTTGTTTGGACTTAATGAGAAAAGGCAGGTAGAGCTAGCTCTAAATTACTGTGTTGTGCTCAACCTTTAAGAAGCATTCGAGGAATGCCAGCTGTATCTATTTCCTTTATCCCCAACTCCACCTTTACCCTCTCAACTAGATCCCAAGATGTGTCTGCTGTTATCTATTCATTCTTCAACACTTAGAGAAACATCATACTATCTCCCAGGATATATACAGTGGTTAAAACTTCATGTAACTGACCATCTTTGTTGGGTGCTGCCCTGATTAAATAAATGAAAGAAGGGAGGCCTATTTATGAATGCTCTGCAGTTTTCTGGCATCCCTTTATTTTTCCTTACTCTTAGCTGATGACTTTGGTTCTTATTTAATTGTGAAAATAAAAGTGGTCAAACAAAACATCCTTGGCCGGGCGCAGTGGCTCACGCCTGTAATTCTAGCACTCTGGGAGACCAAGGCAGGTGGATCACTCAAAGTCAGGAGTTCAAAACCAGCCTGAGCAAGAGCGAGACCCTGTCTCTACTAAAAATAGAAATTAATTGGCCAACTAAAAATATATTTAAAAAATTAGCCAGGCATGGTTGTGCATACCTGTAGCCCCAGCTACTTGGGAGGCTGAGGCAGGATTGCCTTGAGCCCAGGAGTTTGAGGTTGCTGTGAGCTAGGCTGACACCATGGCACTCTAGCCAGGGCAGCAGAGTGAGACTTTGTCTCAAAAAGAAAAGAGAAAAAAGAAAAAACATCCTTATCTTCCTACCACTAATCTGGCCAATTTACTTGCACCCTCATCTATACATTTTTTGGGTTTTTTTTCTCCTTTTATTTATATATTTTTTTGAGATGGAGTCTTGCTCTGTCACCTGTGCTACAGTGCCGTGGCATCAGTTTAGCTCACAGCAACCTCAAACTCCTGGGCTCAAGCTATTCTCCTGCCGATTCTCCTGCCACAGCCTCCCCAGTAGCTGAGACTATAGGCGTGGCCACCATGCCTAGCTAATTTTTCTATTTTTAGTAGAGATGGGGTCTTGCTCTTGCTCAGGCTGCTCTCAAACTCCTGACCTTAAGTGATCCTCCTGCCTCAGCCTCCTGAGTAGCTGAGATGACAAGCACTAGCCACTGCCCAGTTCTTCTATATACTCTCACTTCCATCTTGTTACAATGAATTGTCCTTGCTTCTATTTAAAGCCAACTGTCACTCCTCCATTCCTATCTCCACCCTCACCCCAACATTCCAGTTCTTCACTGAACATTCCAGTTCTACACCAGAGACCATTCCTTCCTGCCTACCTAAGGATTGTTTTTCCTGCAGTATCCCCTTTCTCTTGTATTATCAGTGTTTTTCTCTCTACTGGATCATTTGCATTAGCATACAAACATGCTATAATATCATCCATCTTTCTTTCTTTCTTTTTTCTTTCTGTCTTCCTTTTTTTGAGACAGGGTCTCCTTAGGATCTCCTCCTTATATCATCCACATTGGTCTCAAACTCAATGATCCTCCTGACTCAGCCTACCAAGTAGCTGAGATTGCAGGTGCAAACACACTGGCTCTTCCATCTTAAAAAGCAAAACAAAACAAACTTTCCTTGACCCCATGGCCTTCTAGTCTCTTGCTCCTAACTGCTGTAAGGTGTTGTATTATGTAGATCCTTATACTTTATTTGTTTATTACCCTAGTGACAACCCCTTAGATTGCCTCCAACTTCCTGCTGCCACAAGCAATGGTGTAATTAATGTCCTTGTACATGCCTTCTTTGGTTCTACGAAAATTTCTTGTGCATATTGACCTCCACACTCTCTGGAATGACTGCACTCACTAGTCTACATTCCCACCACCAATGGTGAGATTTCTACATCCTAATTTCCCTGCCAATACTTGACATTGTTCAAGTTTCTAATTTTTCAATTTGCAATGGGTTTAAAATGATATCTTGTTGCAATTTTAATTATTAATATATTTGCACATCTCAAATTTTTTCTTACTTTTGGTTTTTGTCTTTTATGAATTGCCTATTATATCTTCCCAATGTTTTATCATTAACTCTGTCAATAATATTGTGCATTAAACAGAAATTCTTAATTTTTCTATAATCTAATCAATTTTATTTCTTGTATCTTGTGATTTTTTTTTTTTTTTTGAGACAGAGTCTCGCTTTGTGGCCCAGGCTAGAGTGAGTGCTGTCGTGTCAGCCTAGCTCACAGCAACCTCAAACTCCTGGGCTCAAGCGATCCTACTGCCTCAGCCTCCCAAGTAGCTGGGACTACAGGCATACACCACCATGCCCGGCTAATTTTTTTTCTCTATATATTAGTTGGCCAATTAATTTCTATTTATATAGGGGTCTTGCTCAGGCTGGTTTCGAACTCCTGACCTCAAGCAATCTGCCCACCTCGGCCTCCCAGAGTGCTTCTTGTGATTTTTTTTCAGCAAAAATATCACATTTTCATTTCTTTCTTTTTCTAAAACAGATACTTTAGATCGCTTAAAGGCTGGCCCCTCCATTGGGGGCTACACCTCTACTTTGGTGTGATAGACCCAAGGTTTCACTTCTGACAATTTTAATGAGGTGGTGGTGTTAGAGGAATTTCATAGGGTCCCTTCCACTTCTCTGCTTCCAACTGGGGCAGGGACCTGAAAGTGGTAAACTCATGTGTAATGGTTAGCACCTGACCCACACATTTGACATATTGTTTTACTCTTTTTCTTGTACTCATGGTTGTACTACCAACTTACCTCACGGCACTAGGAAGAGTCTCTTATAAACTATCTCTCAGGGCCTTAACTTAAGCCTGCTTCTAAAGAGCTACCCTTATCCAGAGGAGGGCAAGCAGCAATGTCTTTAGATGGGTTTCCTGCATCAATTCCAGGATGGGTGCAATTTCTATTCTAGGTGTGGGGCTTTGTTTACCTACTGGGTTACCTGTGCTACAAAGGAGAGTCTATTATCATTCTTGTGAAATGTCCATGGTTCCGTGGAGAGTGCTCCTGGGTTCCATTGGCAATGGGGTGTCTGCTGACGTCCTCACTGTAGTAGGAGGAGCTGCTAGGGGGGGGCATGGGCAATATACATAACATTAACATTTGTACCCCCATAATATGCTGAAATAAAAAAAAAGAACTTACCTCTAAAAAAAAAAAAAAAAAAACAGGAGGAGCTGCTGAGTCATCTCCGTAGCTGTCTGTCCACAGCCTCTGTCACCAGCATGTTATTCTCCATTTACTTGGCCTCTTTCCCTGGACTGTTGATGCCCATCATGCCGTCGTCCTCTGAGGCCTGTTGCTATACACATGCAGGAACTTGGCAAAGGCCCTGTAGCTCCTATTAGGAGCCCATCTCGGAGTGAGTTCCTCCAGAAAGATTCTAGTAACCTTATGCTCCTTTCTTTCCTCTGGGTAGGACAAGTCTCTACCAAGCCCGAAGAGATATCCACCAATACAAGCCTAGGCATCTGAATGAAACTGCCAATCATTGAAAGAGCTTCCTGTGTAGCAGGTTGTCTTTCTGTCCTTGGACCTCTGCAAGCACATAAACAGTTACTTGTAAATGGAGTCCTCTCAGATGAGGTCCCACCAAACCCACCAAATCCATCAAAGCATCATCATCAAGGCTCCCAGCTCCCCATGTGTGTATTCATGTAGGTGCCTCATAAGAGGCTGAACAAAAGCTTTGGGTAGAACACGAGTCAATGAGAATTCTGTCTCCATTTAGCTGTGCCATCCCAAACGTCAGAGCCCAGTCTTTAGTTTTTAAGGGGGTCTAAATATAGCAAGGATATCATGACCCCAAGGAACAGATCACCTCCAGTGGCCTCCTTAGCTGCTCTGCCAGTGGCCTGACTTCTTTTTGCCATCCTGGCCACCTGCTTGGGCTCAGTCAAAGCCTGTATCAAGGCCATTATTTCAGTGGCATATTTAATATTCTTATTTCCTGCCATCAGGACACCCCTTTCCTTTCAAATGGCACTGTGAGCATGCACAATCATAAAAGCATATTTAAAGTCCGTATAAATGTTTACCTTTTTCCTCTTTTTTTTTTTTTTTTTGAGACAGAGTCTCGCTTGTTGCCCAGGCTAGAGTGAGTGTGCCGTGGCGTCAGCCTAGCTCACAGCAACCTCAAACTCCTGGGCTCAAGCAATCCTGCTGCCTCAGCCTCCCAAGTACCTGGGACTACAGGCATGCGTCACCATGCCCAGCTAATTTTTTCTATATATATTAGTTGGCCAATTAATTTCTTTCTATTTATAGTAGAGATGGGGTCTCGCTCTTGCTCAGGCTGGTTTCGAACTCCTGACCTTGAGTGATCCGCCCGCCTCGGCCTCCCAGAGTGCTAGGATTACAGGCATGAGCCACGGTACCTGGCCTATTTTTTATTTTTTGTACAAAGTCTTGTTATGTTGCCCAGCTTGGTCTCTCAAAGTGCTTGGATTACAGGTGTGAGCCACCATGCATGGCCCCTGACTTCTTTTTTAACCCAAATTACTTAACAGTATATGCTTTAAGTTTCCATACATTTGGGTTTAAAAGCTATCTTCTTTTTTGTTGTTGTTGTTGAGACAGTCTCCCTCTGTCACCCAGGCTGAAGTATAGTGGCATCATCATAGCCCATTGCAACCTCAAACTCCTGGGCTCAAGAGATCCTCCTGCCTCAGCCTCCCGATTAGCTGGGACTACAGGTGCATACTACCATGCCTGTCTAATTTTTCTATTTTTTGTAGAGACTGAGTTTTGCTCTTGCTCACGCTGGTCTAGGAGGCCTTGGCCTCCCAGAGTACTAGGATTACAGGCATAAGCCACCACGCTGGGCCTTAAAAGCTATCCTTTAATTACTAATTTCTCATGTTGTTACATTATAGTCAAAAAACATAGGCCTTGTAATATTTATTCTTCAAAATGTAGTATCAAGGCTGGAGGATCGGCTGGGCACGGTGGCTCCCGCCTGTAATCCTAGCTCTCTGGGAGGCTGAGGCGGGCGGATTGCTTGAGGTCAGGAGTTCGAAACCAGCCTGAGCAAGAGTGAGACCCCATCTCTACTATAAATAGAAAGAAATTAATTGGCCAAATAATATATATAGAAAAAATTATTCTAGGTGCAGGTTCAATGAAAAAAAAAAAAAAAAAAAAATTAGCCGGGCATGGTGGCCCATGCCTGTAGTCCCAGCCACTTGGGAGACTGAGGCAGAAGGATTGCTTGAGCCCAGGAGTTTGAGGTTGCTGTGAGCTAGGCTGACGCCAGGGCACTCACTCTAGCCTGGGCAACAAAGTAAGACTCTGTCTCAAAAAAAAAAAAATGGCTGGAGGATCACTTGA